TGTGTGTGTGTGTGTGTAAACGTGGGTCTACACAGCAACCCTGACAATGAGCAGTCTTCCAGTCACAGCATGGTATGAACCAGATGGATGCTGTTCTTCTATTTCCCCTTTAAAATCATAACGATTCTGCAACAGTCAGCATACTTATAAATGCAGTTTCCCTTTAAATTCATCGGATTGTTACACACTCTTCCTGTTCTCTGTACAAAGACTAGCAGTCCGGGTTCGTAGGGTCATGAAAAACCTGGAATAGTCATGGAATTATAGTTTTTTGCATGTCTCGAAGAGGGGTGAAAAGACAATAATAGTTAGATTAATATACATTTTAAACCATATAGTTTAAGCATACAGTGTAAGAGCAGACAAGACGGCCACCAAACTTCATAAAGTAGTGCAAAGCAAGGAATACTTGTTACTTTAACTCTGAATTAAGTTTGACACCACATATTACTCTTATTTTTCATGCATGTAAAAGGTTTGTGAACCCTCAGTAATACTGTGATGGCAAATAAACCTTAAACGTAACTTAATCAAAAGTAGATATTTTGCATTGAAAATGTTGCTACTGCAACCAAAAGTAGACATTTTAAGAGTTTTAGGGGGATGAATCTGTATGCATTAGTCTTTAAGAGGTTTTTAAATGTAGTAAGTGTTCTCCAACTACGCCAAATAATAACTGTTGGCATGTTTCATATCACTATATTTCCAGAGCTTATCATATGTTTGCTTGTAATATTCTGCTGAGTAACTAGAACTGAAGCTGTTAGATAAATGTAGATAGTCAAATAAAATGTGCAACATTTCTTCTTAAAATTTACTTAAGTATAAAGTCTCTCAAAAGAAAAAAAAAAAGCCGATCTGACAGGCAGATCACATCTGGTACCTCCACTGGCAGGACTTCAGTGCACGTGCTCTGTGGCTCTCAGCCTCTCCATCTCCGACCTCTAAGCTAACCTCTGGGTAAAAGTGAGGGGTTGAGACGGACCAAGCCACGTCTAAACTCTTTAATTTGATGGTGAATGGCCCTTTGTTGTACACTCAGGATGAGTGGGGAGCGTTCGCTGAAGCAGCATCTCGCCCACAGCCATCAGTCGCTCATCTAATGACAGTCTCGGTTGATGATATCAGCCTGAGAAGTGAAACAATAATTATGGGCCTTGGGTGAAGGTTGATGAGTCGCTGCACAGCTTAACCTGCCCCTTCGCTCTCCAACAAGTATATAAAGTGACCCAGGATGAGACAGCTGAGTGTGCAGACCTGAGAGGACCAACCGGACACTGCTTTGAATTAAAAAAGGAACTGGCGAGGGCAAGGAGCTGTTTGTGTGTCTCCATTCATAAAAGGTACTGTATGCGTTGTTCTTTAGAATTAGCAGGAGGTTGTCTTTTTTTAAGCTGACATAAGAAAACAGGAGAAACACTAAGGATAATTGTGTCTGCTGGTTCTGAGCCAGGAGAGTAAAAGAGTAAAGATCCAATAGTCAAACCTGAGTGTCAGAAAAGTGTGCAAAGATCGCTGATGGTGACTGAGAGCATGTTTATCGGGGGAACCTTTAAACCACGATTCTTAACCCTCAAAAAAAGAGATACTTTACAGAAAAAAGTGTGACAGTATGTCCCAATCCTTGTAAGCGGGATGTAAGCTTGCATTTGTTAGCGGAGACTTTCGGTGTGACGGATGCAATGCATTTGAAGGTGTTGAGCTCCCAAAGCACCTTAATTATTCACTCATCTATGTGACAGTTGTGTGGGCTCGAGTAGTTTGTTTGGTTGCGTAATTCCTGGCAAAACCGTAAGCAGTGTCTCATGTACCGGTCTCTGCTCAGATATCGCTCTTTGCCGTGTGCCGCTCACGACCTGGTTGGTGGAGACGTGTTTGAATTGCCGGTGTCTCCTGTTCGACTGGTGACCAATCAAGTCAGCTGGAGAAACTGATGATGACCACGGAAACTTCTCACTGAGCTGTGTTTACACATGGCTGTAGGGTGTGTGTGTGTGTGTACGTGTGTGTGTGAGGAACACTGATAACGCAATGGTTTGTTTAGTTGCCCTTTATGAAGCCTAATCACGACTTGTACTCATTTACTGGCTCCCAGTGCTCAGACTGCCTGGTGACAATAGTGAAGAAAGTGTAAGTAATTAGTGTGTGCTTGCTACTTTTCTCTGTTTTCTTTCTTTATTAGGTGTGCTGAAGGCTTGACTGCTAGTCGCATGTCTGTGCTTATCTGTGTGTGGTTTCTAATCTGACACGAAACATCACAGGAGGGAAGTCAAATACGAACCGAAACCTGTGGATTTTTCTAAGCACAGAAAGATTTGAAAGGGTGAGCAGAGTAGAATCCGCTGCGTGCCTGCGGGATTGGAGTCCAGCAGACTGTGACTAAACCTTTTCCCATCCTTCTGCTCTTCCCTTGTTTCTCCACTACTGCCGGCTCTCTTGTAAAACTCATATTTAACATCATGGCAGTGGGCCGCAGCGTCTCGTCGAAGGACTAACGTTTGTGCTGCAGACTGCCTGTCTCTTCCCACCACCCTTTATCTCCAGAAATAGGCCTTGGACTGCAAGTGCACACGCACCACAAGAGCAGACGTGGTGATTCTGAGTGTGCGGTGACATCAGCCCGACCTGACTTGCTGACATTTGAAAGCAGCATTGTTTTGATTGGACTGTAGCCACACTGGGACCAAGGCAAAGACCTGGGAGCGAAGAAAGCTGCTGCTCCCTCCGTCAGTGTTTATTGTAGCTCAGCTGTGTGGACCTGTGTGCTCTCCAAAGCAAAAAGAAGGACTTATTGAGGAGCCAGAGTGCCTGTGTATATTTAGTGTCCGTACCAAGTAGTCCTGGGTAATTATCGCAGCGACGAAGCAAGGTGACCGCTGTTCTTTCTCACTGCTTATCTTGCTATATTTTGGACAGAACGCAGCCAATACTGGATTTTTGAGAACGATACGTGATATACGGATATGTGAGCGTATATACTGTAGCGCAGTGTGCAAAAGGCATGCTATGTTAAGTGTGAGCGCCATGGCCACCATACTACCGTCTCTACTGTGTCTTGTTCCACAAAGCTCAGTGAATGGAGAAACGTGTAAATCTACTCCGTCCTAAACACTGGCAGATTTTACGTTGATATAATGCTGGCAAACAGATGGAACGATAGTTGGGATGGTGTATTGTTCCTGCTTGTTCCCTCTGGTATTGTAAGTGTTTTGTTTTCCAAACTAAAGACCGCATTTTCCCACAAACCCTGTTATTTCCTAATGCAAATTGATTGCAATTCTAATTCGCCTTTGTCTGGGTTATTAACAGCTATTGTTTAAATGTCATAAGAATGATGTAGTGCTTATTTGTTGACACTTAAATGTCACATGGATTCTGCCTTTAACCCCTGTGTGTGTGTGTGTGTGTGTGTGTGTGTGTGTCCATATGTTAGACGGCAACATAGTTGTACCCAAATGTAAAGACATTAAGAAGGCACATGTTTATCCAGGGCGCGACTGTCTTTGTGTTTGATGTGCTGCTGCCTTTAGTAACCCGTAAACATTTCCTTCTCTCTTAATGAAAAATAAATGTGGAAGAGGATATCACTCTACCTCCTTCCTGCGTGTTAGAGGGAGAGGAGCCCGCTTTATTGTCGTACGTTTACCCACTTGAAACTCCTGACCTGCTCTGAGATGATAGAGATGAACGTTTTCTTTTTGTTTTACCTTACTTCAACCTGAAAGAGTTGCTCAAATATTCAGATTATTGCCAGGGTTATCCGCTTCCTCATATAACTGTAGCTATCCCTTTAATATCTCTATTGTAATTTATAGTGATCCAAGATTTATCATTGACTGGCTACAGAGACTTTATCATTTTGAAACCTAAAAGTAAAAACAATTACCAAGAGGGAATCCTATAAGACAAAATCCCCTCAAATTGTGCATCTGTTGAACGGGAATGGGTTGAACCCCTTGATCAGCCACTCTGTGTCAATCAGCTTATTGTTTCAGCACTATTATCCACTCCGGCCTCCGCCCTGTGTTTCTCTCACTGTAGCAGCCAGCAGTAAGGAGGCCAAGGTTCAGAGCTCCTGCAGCTTTTAACGGGATTGTGTAAGAGAGAAGTGCTGGGGAGAGAAATGAAATGAGTTAAAGAGACTTATAAAAGATTTTTTTCATATTTTCTGTACTTTGTTGCCCCCTTGTTTCCCCCCACTTCAGAATAAGGCCTCATTAGAGCAAGTGGAAGAGGAAGATTTGGGAGAGAAGGTACAGTTCACTGGGGAGAGGGTGACTTATTGATGAGGAGAGTTCTACTCTTTGCTTCCTCAGCTCAGAGACTTGGAGAGAGAGAGAAGAAGTTGGTGACTGAAAGCAAATTAGAAGTAGGAGAAAGCCGACAGACTGACCTTTTTCAAAGTTCTATTTTATCTGGGGAAAGTCAACTGAGCATGATTGCACTTCTTCATATCGTCTCACATTTCCACACAGCTGCCCAGCGGGGACACGGATATATATTGTTGGCCACTGGAGCTGTTGGTGGTGCAGTGCCTTGCTTAAGGGCATCTCAACAGTTAATATATAAAGAGGTGGGAGGTTGTCTTTTTTTTTTTTTTTGATTCTCCTGGCCTGTGGCATTTTCTGGTTTCTCTCGGTGACAGGAACTGGATCATATTAGCTGGCAGTGTGCTGTGCTTCTCGAGAGCAGCTGAATTGGATGTTTGCAGAGCTACGGTATTTCCCTGTGCTCTTCCAGTGCTAACTAAATGGCCTCCGCTTCATATAGCTAAATAAGAATCCCAAAAGAATGCTCATTGCATTTTTCAGAAAGGGAATTATGTGGGTTTGGCCCGGTGCTTGTTTGTGTGGCCTCAGTGTTTGATTGGAATATAAAGAAGGAAAGTCAATGAGTAGAGCGAGTGCAGAACATTTAAGCTGCCATTTCAGGTTTCATTTCTTCTTCACTGCCACTTTTCTTCTTTTCTTCTCTCTTCTTTTTTCATCTTCCTCGCCGGTGAGTCGTAACCTTCATTTTATCTCTCTCTCCTCTACAGTCTGCTGCGCTCCTGAGGAGCCTGCTGCTCTCTTCAGGCATTCCCCCCCCCCTCTGTTCGCTATTCTCCCACAACTCCATCTCTGCTCCCGGGTAACCTGTGGGCCTCGCTCAGCCTCAGGGCAGACAGACTGACTCGAGAGCGTTTTTACACACCAGCGATCATTAGAGGCTCTGTCGTAAAGGTGAGTGCTTCTTTACAAAAAATGAATGGGTGTTTTTATGCAGCCCAACTTTGCATGTAAGGCCTGCAGGGTGTACTGAAATGAATCGGTGCTCTGTGAGCCGGCGGCTGGGAACATTAGAAAGTTTGTGTCAGGCATGGAAAAAAATAGATGCACTAAGGCACGTAAGATTACATACATACTATTTCCCCACCCACATTGGTTGATTTTAAATATCTTTTTATTTTAATTCTTGTGTGTGTAAAACTGGGTGCATGTACTTACTGACTTACTAAATCCCAGTTCCACCTTTAGCTGTAAACAGTAGTATACACTGATACCAGTATTCATACCATTATGCATGTCTGTGTTGTGTAAAGATGGTGTTAATACATTCATTTGCTGGTTTATTACACTGGTGTCACTGTCGCTGATAGTGTGTGTGTGTGTGTGTGTGTGTGTGTGTGTGTGTGTGTGTACTATAATTGTCTCAATTGGCAGCTGTGTTTATCTGACTGGTTTCCTGTTCCCTCTGTGTGGTTTGTGGTAACAGTTGGCTTGTGTGTTTTGTGTTTAATTTGCTGTTAGGATTGGCCTCTTACCTTTTAAACAACTGGATTTTCACATACCTAAAAGCTGCTCCATGCAAATTCCGTCCTTACCATGGTTATGTACCAATCCCCTTTACTGACCCTCAGTTATTGTGTAGAGTATTTACAACTGTTGAGTAGGAAACATTGGCATTTGGCACCAAATGCTTAATACATTTCTCTGCGTTGTTATTGATTTGTATACATGTTTACAATACTTTATTCTGCAATATTATTAAATAACTATATGTGTTGGAAGTGTTGAATGTTTACATAAAAACTATATTTGTCATGTTGCTGAGCAGAGATCATGTCACTGTTAATTTCCAACACAAAGAAAAACATGTTTGTTATTTATTTAATTAAAACAGTGTTACAACCCTCCATGTCTGCATGTGGGAATTTCACCTTTATCTTCTTTTAGGAGTCCACAGTTAGTTTGAGTTTGTTTATTTAAAACATTTATTTGCCCTTGATCTTGTCTTGTTTCCCTTCCATTTCATACATTTGGAGCCAATTGGTGACAACAATCTGCCATTTAGAGCCAACAATAAGAGCCAAAGTGCATAGTTCCAAGAGCAATTTGTTTTTAAAGTGTTTCTCTTATTCTCGTCTCCACCCGCAGATTAAAATCCTCCCGCCAGTGAAGAAGCCATGCTTATCTGGTCCCCTCATGGCCATGCCACTATGACCATCACCCTCCTCCAGTCCCAGCTGATGTTCGTTCTGGCCCTGACTGCGCTTCTCTGCCCCTTGGGCCGAGTGACAGGTCAGGGGGAGAGTGAGACACAGTCCCCTGCCCAGGTGCTCCAGGACCTGCTGGCCCGCCATGGAGACAACAGCACCATCACGGTGCCCCAGCTGCGCGCTCTGCTGGTGCTCCTCAGCCGGAATCAGGGTGAAGGTGAAGGTGACGGTGACGGCAGCAATGTGGCGGAGACTCCTATAACCGCACCGCCCAAATCCAACAGCTCCAAAGTGAGAACAAAAACATTCTCCTCTCTAAAGACTTTTTAATCTTGAACATAAAAGTTTTTTTTACTGTGCTACGTGTTGTCTTCACAATCAACCATCTCTACCAGTAACAGAATTATGTAGGTGTGGTCTTGTGGTCTCCATGTGGTATCTCCTAAGCCATCGTGTGTTAAGAATTTTTGAGGAGGTGCACACACAGGTCTGGCAGATCCTCAGAAGTGTAAATCCAGCTTTAGTCCTGTCTGGAAGAAGCAGGAGCAACCGGTGCCACATAGCTGAAATATTTAGCATATTTCCCCATGCTTAGTGTCGTGGATGATTGACTAACTTGCTGATCTGCTTTTGAATATATTCTCCCTGAGTAACAGTGGCAAAGTTATAAACACTTCTGAGATAGAAGAGGTTTAGGTCACACATAGTTCAGAAGTTGGATGTTGGACACGCAGCAGTGTGTGTTGTTTGTGAGAAGCACGTGCCTCTGTTCAGTAACGTGTTCGGTCACGTGTCACCTGCCTGTCTTTAAACACCTTTCACATTCAAAATACTCGGCTGCCACAGTGGAAAGAATGATTGGTTGTTTGTGCTGAATAGAATATTGAATGTTTTTCCTGCTGTTGTGATGGATTCAAAGTGATTCATACACTTTAATTATGTGGTGAGTCACTATCCAAAAGCCTCACTTCTGTTCGATTCAGCTTCACTTTTTGTCCTTGCAGATTACATTCCAACTGACTTCTGTGTCATGATATGATATGAAATTAGATATTTACCATGGGTACAGTCTCTTGACTTTTCTGTGTGACTTGTGAAGTTTGATACCTGAGATAGATGGATTTCATAAGCTGACAGCTACTGTATGTGTCCTATTGGCCTTTTCAGGCATCTCCTTCCTCTGTATTTGTCGAGTTCTTCATTGTAATTCAGCTTTTTAATACCGGATGATTACCAGTTTTGTTTAAATCTTAAGCAGTCTTACCTACTACTTATTACGGCCCGAGCACTGACCGTGCGAAGGCCCTTTTGTAATTGAAGGAATTCTTTCTTTTTCTTTTTCCTACCAAAGCTTTTTGTAGGCCTTTCCCCCGTCTTCGAAAACTAAACGGCGCACATAGTCTGTCCGTGGCGGAAAATTTAATCGATGCGTTTTTTTGGTTGGCTCACTACTAGGGCCCGATACCTATCATGAAAAGTGTTTTAAGTAACTTCTGCATAGTTTGTCGCACATTCAAAAACCTTATATCCACGCCTTTGGTGTATGGAGCTGAATCTTCCCATATAGGCCACGCCCACTCCCGCGATAATTTTTCACACATACCTAAGGCCCAAGGTAATGTGTTCAAATGCTGTTTGATTGGTTTGTCCACATTACATTACAGAACATTGGCACAAATGAAACTCCAAACTTGATTTTGTCGGGATCTTGCTCGTGTCTGTATTTTTAAAGTCACAATAAAATGTGACCCTGCCCTTTACATGCTTAGTTAAAATTGATGATTGACCTGGCATCCTGGCTAATTCAGTTGTTTCAAGTAGAATGGTAACCTCTGTTGGCCAACTAACTGACGGGTATCATTTCTTTTCCAGTGCTTGCCTACGGACACGCTGGCTATTTACAGCATCAACGAGCAGTCACGGCTAGATGGACAGCACTTACAGGAGCTGTGCCCCACCATGCTGCAGCAATTGGATGCTGGCACCTGCAGGGCGCAAAATAAAGAGGAGCTAAGCAGTGACGCCTCCCCCCGGCCCACAGATGCTGAAGGTGAGCACTGAGTTGTTACTGATGATTTAATGTTTGCTATATGTCAAGGTATTTTTTAAAATAAAGCACTGTATACTAAAGAAGTGAGGAGTTTTGTTCCTCTGTATGTCAGTTTTCTGTTCCTATAAACTTAATAGTGCTTATTTTTAAAAAGTTATAAAAGGCTGAACAGAGAATAAGTTGACAATAGCAAAATAGAATAATATAGAATATTGCCAGCCTTATCAAGATACAGTTAAAAGGATATTGTATGTATTGTATGTTAGATGAATATTGAGAGGTATGTACTTTTGATGTTCTTTTTAAAAACCATGATGGCTTTTATGTTTTCTGTTGGTCAAACTTGTGCTGGCTGTTGGCTGTTTAAGTTTATAGTTTTACAGCTTCTTTATCTGTGCATTGTACATTTGAACTACTTTGCTCCTTCCAGAGTGAGTACATCATCATTCTGTCAATGACTGACTGAATGATGAATCAAGTTTTTCCCTGTAACATATAATTTTTTACAACCTTATTTTCAGTTACAATCCTTACCAATGAAAACCTCATGCAAAGAGACCTCAAACACATTTCTTCATCAGATTTGAGCTCCAAATGTGTTTTGTTGCCTAGAGATAGTGATATCACAATGTCCCCAAAGGAGATGGAAGCCAAATTAAGCATGCACAGTTAGCCAAGGCTCAAATTGCATTTCTCAGTTTGGCTTAAAAACCCACATGTCCTTTAGACTCCACAAATGTGCCACAGTCAGCATATCTGTTATGTAGCAGAGATCTCATCCAGGTAAAGACAGTCAAACGGAGAATCATCAGCTACAAACTGCCTTTCTTTCCTTGGCTGCTGACCCACTGTAACTCCATACGGACTGCAGACTGTACACACCCACTAGGACGTCCCTGGGAGCCCTGGAAGCCATACTGGCATCTGCATCCAATCTGAAGTTCTCGGAAACTGGAGCGCAACATTGGCTGTTGATTTAAAAACCTTTTGAGTTGTTGTTGAATGGAGGCTAAATGGGCTTTAGAGTATGTAGCTGGTATAAAAAGCTTGCTAATGACAGACTTGGAGAGCTTGGTCAACGTGTGATATTCTGCCCTAAAGGCTGCAGCAGACCTTATGTTTAAAAGCAGCAACGCTTCAGGATGTTTATAGTACTGCATTGGTGTGCACTAAAAGAAAAATAACAGCTTTAATTATGAATGTGATGACTGTTTGCATCAATGGCTTTATATTCTTTTCAAAATAAGCATTACATTGTGCTGTAGCTTTGCTGAGCCAGGTCACAAATTTCATTTCTTACATTTAACCCTGTTTAACTCCTCCTCGGCAGGTAGAGGAGAAATGCTTTAGTAGCCTAGATCTCTGGCTCTGTCGCTGTCTTTCCACTGGAAAATTTGTTTTCCCTTATCATCCACTCATATGCCCCAGCTCACCTCACACTTGCCCCTGTAGGCAGCTTATTTTGGCTTGGGAGCTGTTAGCCAGCAGCGGGGAAGCAGATGCCATGGAAATTCATCTCTACTGCAGATCTCACTGACTTGTATATACTGATAGTTTCTCATTATCTAAATGTGACACTTTTGCAGCTTTTTTCAGAGATCAAATAACTCACATTACATTAACATGCCCCTCCCCTAACAGTGCCTTTTTTTTTTAACCAGTTTTAAAATAGTTAAAGCTGATTTAGTTGTATCTTCTCTTAAGTCTACTACTTGTGCCCTTGATGCCTTGCCAAAACTACTACTACTAATACTACTACCACCACTGTCACTTCCACGACTACTGCTACCACAATTACTACAACTACTGCTACCACTATAACTAATAATAATCCATTTATTTATATACCACTTTTGAACGCAAGATAAATGAAGCAAAAATAAAATAATCTACATCGTATGGAGAAGTCTGCCTCTGCCTTCACCACAAGCTCTCATGATCTATTTTCTGTTTCCTTTCTCAGTGGGAAGAAGTTATCTGGCACCACAGACCAGAGCGTTTAACTTTTCTTACCCGTAAACTTCTGATGTGCACTAACCTTATTTCTTTTCTACAGGTGTCAGTTAAGGCAGTGGTTCCCAACCTTTTTGACTCGAGACTTTTAAAACCAAAGCATTGTCTTCATGAAAACAAGTTGCATATGTCTGAGTTGTGAGCATTTCAACCAAAAAGTGATGTTACCTTTCTCAGTGCTTTCATTGGAATTGTGGTTAGGCTAGAAGAAGTAAAACTATCTAGTATTTCACAATAGAGAAGTAATATATCAATAATGTATGTAGCAGAAAAGTTATTTTTTAAAGTTTGCATTTATTTGATAACATAACAGGATTGTATTGAAATAAAAAGGTTGATGATGCATTGCTCGCGCTGGATAACCACACATTATGAATGACAGATGGTTTTAATCTTACACCTTCCTCTTCCATCCAACCTTCTTTTCACTCAAACCACTAGTGTGGGGCTTTTCTTTCCTGAGTGTGACAGTGATCAGTGCCTTCTCCCTCACCGGAGTCTTCATCGTGCCTCTCATGAAGACGCGCTATATGAAGTATGCACTCACGTTTTTCATCGCTCTTGCCATTGGCACACTGTTCTCCACTGCCATCCTGCAGCTCCTGCCAGAGGTTTGCCATCCACCCATATATCTTTCTGTCTTTTCCCATCCCAAAACTTTTTTTGCTTTTTCAAAAACACAAACACCAAAGGCTCTTTAGTTTCACTGTAGTGTCACATGGCTGTTTATAAAACTAGTGCACCTTTGCCCAAGAGCTCTTTTGTCTTTCCTGTGGTCATATCTGTTTCCTCTGCTTCCTGCCTTTGTTTTTCTCGCTCTGGTTTTCTCTGGCTCTAACAAGTACTGTGCAAGACTTTTTGGTTTTGCTTTGCCCTGACTGGGGGGTGTTTATATATGTGTGCATGTGTCTGTTTGTGTGTCTGTACTTTTCCTGGCATTGAGATGTAGGCCAGCTATGGGGTTTTTCTCTGAGAGATGGTTGAGCTCTCTTTTCTATCACTGCAGCATGTCAAACAGCTAAACAACACTCTTATAACAGTGTTTTGTTCAGTTTTTTGGCTTTGGGATTCATAAATTTCAGTTTGCGTGAGACAGTCCTGGAGAAATGGAGCACAGAACCCTTAAAGCGTCCTTCAAATTGAAATGTGATTCCTCATTAGCAGTGCTCCTTCTGCTACTGTTGGGCTATTTAAAGTTTGTTTGCCCCCTTTTGTGTCTGCAGTGATAGCTAGTGTGTACCCTGAGGCTAGGACAGTGGTCCAGATGCACCTGAGTGGACTAGGACAAAGTGTGTGTGTGTGTGCGTGCGTGCATGTGTGTGACTGCACAAGGTTTCAGTAAACTGTAATTTTGCTTTAATCACTTCCCTTCTCTATCAAAAGAAATGCATGGGGTTTAAGGGACCGCTTCAAGGAACAACACATTGTTGTCTTCACATGCAAATGACACTTCTGTTGATCTGTTTTCAATGAACAAACGAGCCTGTTGTCTTTGGAAAGACTTGCAGGTATCTCTAAAATCTCCTTATTTCTTCAGGTTGATTTCATTCAATTCTGTCTTTCTTTTCAGGGAGTTAACTGGTTGGTGTTCTTTATTTATTTATTTTTTTTGTTCCTTACCCTGGTGATTAATCTGATAAAATCTGTTCTCAACTAACTACCTCTCTTTTTTTCCTCACCTACCCCCTTCTTTCCTCTACCTCCTCTCCGTTGATCAGTGTGGGGTTATGGGATCCTGTGTGTGACACTGATCTCTCTGTGTTCGCTGGTCGGGGCCAGCGTGGTCCCCTTCATGAAGAAAACCTTTTACAAGCGACTGCTGCTCTACTTCATAGCCCTGGCCATTGGCACCCTCTACTCCAACGCCCTGTTTCAGCTCATCCCAGAGGTAGTGTCGATGCTGCTGTGACTCACTGCAGCTCCTTCACAGAGCCTCAGTGCAGATTTGAAAGAGAATTAAATACAAACAGCAAAACTTGACATTATAACCTTCATGAAAGAAGGACTTATTGCAGCTTTTGTATCTGACTGCATTAGTTTTAGCTCACTGTTCCTAATAAACTTTAGAAGAAAACTGTAACAAAAATGAATTGAGAAAATGTTAATAGATAAAATTACTAGATGAGAATCAGTGAACTAAATACCTAACGAATCAAAGTAGGATCAGAACGATTCCTGGATTTAAAAACTACACATTTGGGAAGTGGGATGGTTTCTCTTTTAGAAACACTCCAGCAACATATCAGTCAGTAGACAAATCATCATATCATCCAATACCACTCATAGGATTTCTTCAACTTAACAATTGGTTAATCCCCTCAGTGAATGAATGAATGCCGTAATGCAAAAGCTGGCATTATTTAAGTGTATTGGTCACATACTGTATGAGGCTGCCGACTACTACTACTTTTTGTGTCTGAAGTCTTTGTGTACCCTGACTGTTAGAAACCCAATTAAAAATAAAAAATGGCCATGTAAATGAAATGTACCTCAATTCAGGTTTCTCATTTACATGAAGGTTAACAAGTGGGGGTAACTGAAGGAAGCTTAGGTGCATGTCAACACACTGAAGTTAGAGTGCCATAACCCACAAATATGAGCAGTTGTCATTTTAGATGCTGTCTAGACGGTTTACACGCCCATCACGGCCAAACTGTTTCGTAACTTATTGCATCAATTCACCTGGGATAAATAGTAAAAAAAAACAAAACACATTTGTATACCTCAAAGCTTAAGTGGTGTGATTTATGGGAAGTTTGTGTCTGCTGAAGGGGAGAAGATTACATACATAATTCAACCTGTCTCTTGGGTTAGAGGCTGCTTTGAAATATCTTTGCAATATCTTAAAAGGATGTCAGCTCTAGTTGATGTTATTGTTAACGATGGACAAAAGTTAAACCAGCCAAAGACATTCAGCAGAGTGAAGTTGTCCACGGAGATAAAAGCAGTTGACCCTGACAGCGAATATAAACATGGGGAAAATGTTTTTTACTTTTTGCCAGAAATGAAACTTCACTCTTGTTTTGAGACAGCTGACTAGACAGCCTAGATCCACCCATCCGGTTCAAAACAAGCAATTCACCAACCACACATTTTTCACTCTCAAGACCTGGTAAAACACGTGACATTTGTTTCAGACAGTACCTCCTTTTAAAAATATGCACATTAACCAACGTCAGGCAGTAATGTTGTAATAACAGCCACTATAAATATTCATCAGAAGCTAACACCATCTTCTTTCCCCTGTGGTAGGCCTTTGGTTTTGACCCCATGGTGGATTTCTACGTGTCCAAGTCTGCAGTGGTGTTTGGAGGCTTTTACCTCTTCTTCTTTACTGAAAAGGTCCTCAGAGTGCTTCTCAAACAGAAAAACGGGGTGAGTACATAGCAAGAAAGATGTGAAATTCCCCTTATATTGTTTTATTGGTGGATACAGGTGGTAGGAAATTGGGATCAGCAATATGTGTCAACATTACTTTATGTGGAAGTTGTCGAAGCAGGAGGCAGCTAAAGACCAAAGACACCAAAATGTTGGACACAGACTCTCTCTAGTGATTGGGGTTGGCGCAGCGTTATCAAGGTCCCGCCCATACACCCAGCCAACACGATGGCAAGCAGGGCTCAGCTGTCAATCATTATGTGAAACCCTCTTTTACAATTAAATAATAACTAAAATTAAATAACTAATGAAAACTTATCAGAACAAATAGCACTTAATATATGATAGATAGAACATAATATATGACTGTACTACCTAAGAGAACTACCTAAAATGCCAGAAACCATCTTTGGTAAAAATGTATTTGACATTAACTTTTAGCCCATGACTCATATCTGATAACATGAAGGCAGCAGACGTTATGACTTAAACTGCAGTCAGCCTCTAGAAGGCAATAGAGATGTTTTGAGAGCTGTTATGTCATCCATCTTGATGGATCTATATGTCGATGCTTGGCACAGGTTAAATTGTAAGGACGAAGGGATGGTGAGGAAAAAAAGTTAAGTTAGTGCCCTCACAAAGTACAGTACCTTAAGTGGAAGTTTACCAGACAGAAGAAATGAACAAGTGTAGCACTGAATCCATATCTCCGTAGTAGTCTCAACAAAACTGTACTTTGTGAGCCTCACAGAGCTGTTATTTAAGGCAGCAGCTTTGTATCCAAGGTCGGCACACAAAGACACAATCTAGTATGACCAGCAGAAAACCACAACTCCAAAGCAAAGGAGAAACTAAGATGGTCTCTTCACTTCTCCTGTTATTTTTACGAAATCAAGAACAGTTTGGATGAAATCACTCAGCTCACAAGTTTGACAGATCATAGAAGAGTCGGGCAATACAAGACTGTTTTAATTGGATCTTGAAAACATGAATGTACACAAGATTCCCACAGAAAATAAACAAAGGGGTGTTTATTGAAATGGTTAGAAACTGAAAACTGATTATGCCATCACAACATGATTCTACTTAATTATCACCCAACTGTAATTCTCCCATGTTTCCATAATCAATTATGGTAATGATATACATTAAACTTGCTTAAGACATTTCATCAAAAAATCCTTGAACCTTAATAAATGACTCATTCCAAGTTGGACTTGTAGTGATCTTTTCTTTTATTCATTTGTCCTCCAATATGTCTTCAAGTTAACAAACCTAACCATGTTGTTACAATGTTGTCAGGCAACTGAATGTTACAATATAAATATAAATATTACAATATTTGTTCTGTGGTCAGTCATAACGTACAACTAAATTTGTTCCTGCTCGTTATGTGTGCATCAGTGGCAGGTTTAACCAGTTGTATGGGAGGGTTGGGCCCAAGTCACTCCTGAAGTTCACTGTACTGCCCCCACTAGTTGCCACAGTGGAGATATCTGGCTTTGAAGAATCATTTATCATTTGGGTTTTGTACACTTGACCCATGGCCTGTGTCATCACTAATGGATTAAGATCACAAAGTTTATATGTAAAGAAAACTGTCACTGAAAACACACGAGTGCTCAAATATAATATGCTGTGGTAATTTTGTGGTAATTGGGGATTAACTGTTAATTTATCAGGTAAATATATAACATTAAAAGGTTCCATCTTCTCAAGTATCGTTGTTATTTGAATATTTGTTATTTGAATAGTTTGTGCTCGTGATGGACTGTGAATTGTTCAGGTGTGAATTGTTTTTGGCTCATGGCCACTTACTTACTTGACTTCCTGCCTGATTGGCAGAAAGTACAGTAGGAGTGTATATGCTGATGGTGCTACTGATATCATTCTCAAAAAGCAGCGCGACATGCAGGTGGGTCATTGCGGGACAGTTGCTCCACCTTGTGGTTACTGAGCTTTGAGCCATATGGTCCATCCAACCTAATTAACAACTATTTATATTTATTATTTATATATCTGATGATCCAATTACAAATGCTTTTTGACCTAAATTGGCACCTAGATTTTCCTTTCACTGCAAAAAAAAGAAGAAAAAAACCCATTAACAACTGTTGGGTAAGGAATGTAATTTTGTTCACTGGAATGGTCACTGCTCTGACCCTTACCTGCGATAAGACAGTGACCGTAGAGGCCTTGCAAACTTTAATGAAATGGCACACAGAATCTCCTGGGTTTTTATTTGTATTTGAAGAGCTCAACCACAGAGTGAACGCTGCCTGAGAGGCTCTGTAAAATCCCAGAGAAAAGAAATTGTGACCAGAAATGTCATGTCACCTGCACTCTGTGGTTCTGATTAAATCATTTTATGAAAGAGTGCTGCTACAACGGCAATGTTAATGGAGAAGTATCGTTTTGATAATTCAAGCCTTTCTGGATAACCGAAGTTCAAGGTTAGTTCATTTGACAGGAAGGAAATTTCCCCCAGCAATGTATATGTCAAAATCTGTTATTTATTGATCGTGATATCTGTTTTCTCTCTGTCTCTCAGAGCCACGGTCACAGTCATTACCCCGGTGCAGATCGTTACTCGACACCCGACGGGGATGTGGAGGAGGGGGAGAAGGAGAAGCTGCAGCAGAATGGAGAAGCCAGCAGTCTGGCTCTGGGCAAGGTGGACACAGGGGAGGGCGAGCTCATGCTCAGTCCTGCACAGACACCTCAGGTAAGGTTGGGGGCAGAGAATGGAGGAGAAGACTTTGATTCATTTAGTTGTGGAAGAATTGTACTGCATGTCTGCATTTTTATGTTACTGTAGTAGTAGATTTTCATTACTTCATAAATTCAGTATCACAAAGGGACAAATGGCGGGACATTACATATCAATGTTGAAAAAAATTACTCAATCAGCTCTTTCACTGTAATAAGTGAATACTGGAGAAGATTACCTTAAAAAGTGGGTCATCCATAGAAGTGGACCCAAAAAGTGTAGCTGTACGTGCATAGTTATTAAAGAAAACATCTGCCTATTTGAAGGTGATTTGAGACGGTTTTTCCCTACCACAGGTTTGAGACCCCTCAAAGGGGTTGCAAAATGAATAATTGGACAGGAACGTAAAAAAAATAATAAAACTTTATTTTGTACTTCTTCAGGCCTCTAACAGTTATTCAGTTGTACAAACTTCTCTCATTTTAAAGTATTATTTTTTTGGCCTTTTTTATGCCTTTATTTGATAGAGATGGCTGGGTGGAAGCAGGAAGGGGGGGCAGAGAGAGAGAGGGGGGACGACATGCTTCAAAGGGCCACAGGTCTGACTCGAACCCGAGCTGCTGCGTATATGGGTCGCCAGCTCTACCGACTGAGCTAACCAGGCGCCCACTTCTCTCATTTTATAGACTTATTCAATCTGTGACCAGGGATCGGCAGAAGTGTTAGAAACAACTTTTATCGGCAATTCATCCAAAAATGATATAAAATACTTAAAATTCTGTGTATGTAGCCTAATTATGATCTGAATTTGAACGCTTCCTTGTTCATGATGTGCTATTTGCATATTGCTGCTCTGTCCACACATATTAACCTTGTCGCTCTGTTTATCCCAGGACTCTCAGAGTCCAGACAGCGGGGGGCGGTCTGGCGGCGGTGGCTGCTATTGGCTGAAAGGGACGTCCTACTCTGACATCGGCACGCTTGCCTGGATGATCACTTTGAGCGATGGCCTGCACAACTTTATCGACGGCTTGGCCATTGGTGCCTCGTTCACCGCCTCCGTCTTCCAGGGTATCAGCACCTCCGTGGCCATCCTGTGTGAGGAGTTCCCCCATGAGCTGGGTGAGTCGGGACGGGATTTGAGCCAGCAGATGTTTCCTGATGCCACGTTGCTGCGTTGAACCTCTACCAGGCTGCAAGTCTCAAGCAGGGTGTCCACTGTGTCTTACAAAGTCTATAATCCAATAATAATGAATTTCAACAAGTCTTACACAATTACTGGATTAAAGTGGCACTTTTCAGTCTAGCTTTTTTATATATATATATATATATATA